TATTCATAGTAATCCCAGAAATAAAAAAATTATGTTTATATAAACACACTATCATCAGATTATAAATACAGAAAAAAAAAAAAAAAAAAAAGTATATTTGATAAAATAATGAATTATTTAAAATAAAAAAAAAAATTACAATAAAAAATTTTTTTTTAAAAGAATTTATACTTTTATTATAAATATATTTAAGTTTTTTTAGAATATATATATTTTTAATAAATTTTTTTGAAAAATATGGATAACAGTACAATCTTTTAATTCAATAAGAATAACATATTAAATAAAATTGTAATAAAGGAATATTGAGTTAAAAAAAAATGAATTTTTATTTTATTTAACATATATGTAAATTTGAATTAAACTTGATAAAATTTTTATTTTGTTTTAAAATTGTAAGATGTTTTTTTTAGAAGTATGTATAATACTTTCAGATATTTGAAGTTATCATCTAAATATATTTTATTGTTATTGTTTTTTCAAACTTTTGTTTGTTCATATGATTATTCTACTCAATCAAGTGAAGAAAATGATTTTTTTGTTGAAGCGTATGAATTGCTTGATGAAGGAGAATATGAAAAGTCCTTCACAATTTTGAAGGATTGTGTTCATTATGATTTAAGGTATATATAAAAGAAAATATTGTTCAATATTAAAAGGAGAAAAAAGAAAAAAAAATAACAAAGAAAAAATATGCATAGTTTAAAACAATCAGAAAAGTCTGTAGAAAAGAAGAAAAAAAAAAAATTTAATAAAAAAGTATATGTTTTTATATGGAAAAATAAAGCATAATTTTTCTAATGAATATAGGATAGCATTTTATAAATACATATATATATATAATATTAATCAAAATTATTTTCTTTTTTTATAGATGTTTAACACTTATAGGAAAGTTTTACTATTTAGGATTAAAACCTGTAGAAAGAGATGTATGTAATGCTTTGTATATATGGAAGGTATGTTCAGATTATGGAAGTTCTGATGCTCAATTTTATTTAGGTGTTATGTATTCTAATTATTTTTCTTTGCCTAATTTATACTCTTATTATGAAGAAGAAAATAGAATAGAAGATAACATAATTTTATTTAGAGCTTTTTTATTTTTAAAGGTAAAATACTTAGAAAAAGAGATAGCAGATTGCATTTATGGAAGAAAAGAAAAATATGATAACGAAGATAAAAATAGAAAATTTCGAAGTGTTCCTATAGTGAAATTTACTAATAAGAATGAGTTAATATTAAAAATAAAAAATATAAGATATAATATAGATGAATTAAAACTTTATTTTAATAATTTAAATAAGTTTTCAAATAAAAATGACAAGGGAAAAGATAGAAATATTAATTATAATTATACAAGAAATCATAATTTAAGCTTATTATATTTTTACAGTAGCAATTTAGCTAATCATCCAGGTAGTATTTTAGCACTTGGAATAAAATACATGAATGGTTATGGAGTAGAAAAAGACTGTGAAGTTGCTTCAAGATATTATTTAAAATTAACAAATGATATATTTAATTCTGATGAAAAAACAGAATTTGAAATAATTGATTTAATACGATTAAACGTACCATACTATGATAGATATAGCATGAATAATAAAAAAATTAAAAGTATAGAAATATTACTGGAAACTTCTTTGCATGATAATCATAAAATATTAACTATGATAGCAAGAAGGTATTTAATCGGAATAGATGGTGTAAAAAAAGATTATAAAAAAGCTCATAATTATTTAACAAAGGCTGCAAAATATAAAAACTCAGAAGCTATATCATTATTAGGATATATATATTTACTAGGGTTAGGAGTTAAAATTGATTACAATAGAGCAATTGAATATTTTATTGAAGGTAACAAATTAAAAGATTCTTTAAGTTACAACGGATTAGGTTATATGCATTTTTTTGGTTTAGGTAATTTTAAAAGAAATGAAAACTTAGCATTTTATTACTTTGAATTAGCAGCAAAAGATAATTTATCATCAGCGCAATTTAATTTAGCTTGTATGTATTTAAGTGGAATTGGTACTCCTCAATCTTTTCAAAGTGCATTTTATTGGTTTTATAAATCTTTAAATAATGGAAATTTGCTAGCTGCATATATAATTGGGTTTATGCATTATAACGGAATAATAACATCAAGAAATTGCAAATTAGCCTTATCTTTATTATCTAAAGTAGCAGAAAATAATTCTTTTATTATAAATACAACTAATAAAATTATAAGATATACTGAAAGAGGAAGAGATAAAGAAGCATTATTTTTAATGGCCTTACTAGCAGAAACTGGATGTTTACAATCACAAATTAACATATCAAATAAAATTATTAATTCTGAATTTTCCTTATTTTTACCTTCGGATTCCAATTCAAAAAAAATTTATGCTAGCAGATATTTAGCTATGGCTTCTGAAAGTAATGATTTCAAATCATTATATACACTAGGGGATTATGCTTATAATGGTTATGGTATATATGTGCATTTATTACCTAAAAATAACTTGCCTATTGATACTTTATATGATTTAAATAATAATAAATATTTATACAAGAAAAATAAAAAAAAGAAAAAAAATGATAATAATAAGAAAATTAACACTTCAAATAATAAAAATATATTAACAAGCTCTAACGAAATAATATCTACTGATTTCATTGATGAACAAGGCTTTGTTTTTAATAACAAATGGAGATTTAACTATTCGTTCAAGTTTTCCTTTAATAAAATTGACTACGAATTAGCTTATCATCATTATAAAAGTATTATATCATTTTATCCTAATAATATTTATGTTATTCAAACTATTTCAAGGGCTTGTTATAATTTAGGATATATGTATTACTATGGTATTGGAGTTCCAAGAAACATTGAAAAAGCCATGATTTATTTTAACTCATCTATTAAAGTTTATCCATCCTATAAAGTACCTTCAGTTTTATTTGTTTTATATATAAAATTTAATAAGTATTTATATAATTTAAAAAAAAAAATCAAAAAATTTTTTAACTTTTTATAAATTTTTTATTATTTTAATTAGTTTTTTTTTTTATTACACAAAATTGTTATTTTTTTTATAAGAATATCATATTAAAAGATATTTTTACGTTGTTATTTGTTAATGGAAATAAAAATGTGTCAAGGGTTAACAGAATAAACAAAAGAATGCTAAAAAAAATATTTTTATGTGTAATAAATTTTTAATATATATATATATATATATGTAATATAAATAAAATGAAATTAATATTTTGTTCTGAAAGCCCAATCTATTCATTATTTATATATTGAAAAGTAGATAATATACCAAAAAAAAAAAAAAAAAAAAACAATTTTTATTATTATAATAATCTAAAACAAAATTTTTTTTTTCTTTTTTTTGATTATCATTTAATTTGTCATATTATAACATTTTATTAATTTTTTTGAACTTTTTGTTATCTATCACTTGTAATACTAAAAATTATATATAGCATTGAAATTTTGCTAGTATAAAAAAAAAAAAAAAAAAAAAAAAAAAAAATAGTTATATTAAATTAAAAGAAATTACTTTATTTTAATAATTCCTTCAAAAATTTTGGCAAACAGGAAATGGTTTTATATTTAAGATTTATTTAATATAAATAAAAATTATAATAATCTTATAAACATCTTTAATTTAGAGAAAAAAAAAGGATATGCTACTTAATAAATAAGTAAAGCAATATCTAAGTGTTAAATTTAAAAAATAGTGTATAAAACAATATTATAAATATCAAAATATAAGATATATTAATAATTTAAGTTAGTTTTTGAATTTTTATTAATATTTTCCTTAGTCTAATTTTCATATATATTATACATAACAACTTATTTTTGTTTTATTTGCTAAATTATGATTATAATTTTGTAAATAAAAAAAAATTTATAATCTTTTGTTTTATTAATTTTTAAAATACTAATTTATTAAAAATTCTAAAAATTGATATAAAAAAAAAAAAAAAAGAGAATAATAAGTTACACATTATTTAATGTTATAAGACAGTTTTTTTTAATACTCTTCGTATTATTAATTTTATATTTCTTTTTTCTTTTTTTGAATTTTTGTACTTCACTTCAGCAAAAGTGAGTAAAATAGTAAAGTGTTATCTTTATATTATTTATAAAATTAAAATATATATTATTTTTTAATATTTATCATCAAGAATCAAACTTTTAATTTTTTATAATTTTCTAATAGAAACATTAAAAGGAAAAAAAATATTTTTTTTATGATAAACTCTCAATTTTCATTGTGATATTACACGAAATTAGAAATAAGTAAATACTACAATTTATCAATATTATTCTCGACTACTATTAAATTATGGATTAAAATAGATTAAGCATACGAATTTTTCATTTTTAATTTTTATTCTCTATTTTTATTAATCTTTAACTAATTTTTATTTTAATTAATTTTTTTACACTTTTTCTTTTTTTGCTTGTTCTGAATATCAAAATGTTCGAAAATTATTTGAAGAGAAATTATTTAAATTGACGAAATTTTAACTCGAACACTCTGAAAAATAGAAAAATCGCAATATCATAAATATGTATATTGTGGTTTAAAAAAAAAAAAAAAAAAAAAAAAAAAAAAATTAAATATTCATTTATTAATTTTATTTACAAGAGAAAATAACAGTTTTTTATGAAAATAGTATTTTTATTTAGAACTAGTAATGTAAAAAAAGTAATATGTAAATTTTTTTTTTTTTTTTTTTTTTTTTTTTTTA